ATTATAGATGAAAACAATTATATGGTGTGGAGCCATAAAAAATTTATCTGGCCCGATTTATCCAAGTGCAACCTGTAGAGTTGTTCTGTCGTATTTAGGTTCTTACAATTGTAATGAGTTAATTCCCTCCATCTTTGTAGTCATCAGTTAATTCATCGCAGATTTGATGAATTTTAGTTTTACTGTGGAAATTCCTACGTTTTTGGCTTCAAATGACCTCACCGATAAACAATTTCGAAATTTTTTTTGAGATGTTTCCAGGTTGCTCTTAATTTCTAATTGGTAAAAGAACGTAGTCGAGATAGTAGTGAAAAATTTAAGGAGTAGAGATATTCCGTCCTCTGGATAACGAGATAGTGTGGAAAGTAGCAAATTTAAAGTAGACAGTGAAGCGGGAAATGGAAGGCGAATTGAAATTACGCATGTTGCCATAACACATTGGTCCGCCTACGCAGATATTATAAGTGACCATCCCCTAAATGGGAAAATGCGAAATATTCAGACGATTCGAAATAATTTCGTTTGACACATGAACAAAAATTACTTTAATTAGCGAACTGCTAATGCGTACAGATGAAACCTAGCTTGTTACTATCAAACTCACCTACAAAGCTAACGCCTAATTTTTTACGCCAAATATATGTAGCTGCAGTGGAATATAGTCGTAACAAAAACAACTCAGTTAACTTTTCGAGTTTTTTTTGATAGTGTTAGGATAACCTCAAGTATTAAAGATTATTGCACTTTAATGCTACATTTCTCAGTTTGCTCGGTGTTCTCTGCAGTTCAGTAGGTTTTTGTGTCATTTTCTGGAGCAAAACTTATTTTCTTGGCGACCCAAATTCTTCAAAAACAAAAAGTGCTGTGCTTGACTCGAACATAAAATCTTATGAGTAGACGTTTGCCCAAATTATTGCCAGATTATATCTTGAAGATATTTGGTCATCGATGGAGCCTAGATTGTTTAGTAGAGTATATATTGGATACTCCGTGAAACGCTCTTTTATACGCGATAGCAGAAGAAAGTGAATCAACTGAAAGAACAACGAATCGTTCAAAATGATTTCATCGCCAACCCAAAATCTGAGATGGAATTGTTATTTCGAAAGGCTAAAATTCCGGCTATCTCAGCGGGGAAGCCAGTTGAGTTTGGGACAAAGGCAATGCGACGTCGAAATTCTTGCAAGTTTCTGGCGCTTTCACTTCCTTTCCACGATTTTTTCTTTGGCCATAAGAAGAGATCTTTCCCCTCCCTTCCTTCCCACTCATCCAAATTGTATTTATCTAGGAGTTTTTGATCGTTATTAAAAGTCAGAAG